TGTATGATTCCTTGAAGATTTCGTTAGATGTTGAGCATATTCGAGAAAATGACGGTTTCAGTTCGTTCAGAAATGCGTTATGAGGGAATGCATCATCTTTTAGAGTCTATCGAATGAAATGATTAAACTACTTCGCCATATGTGTATACAACATCCAATTCTTTCGCTCTACCCACCCGGTGCTCAGCCAGACTCAAACGACGAATTTGCATACGATATTGGTGATAAGAAAGGAGATTCGATCGTATCACCGTGTCAAAATCATTACACTGAGGTCATCATCTTTATTTATTGCTCATTTGTTTCATTTTCATTTTAAAACCTTTCAAGTGAAAGCATTCATTACATTGTGTCTCATTTCAAAGTCATTTCTTATCACTTTTTGTTGAATGAAGTGCATGCGTTTTGAAGGGCATCAATGATTTACTTTACACTGATAGACGAAATATTGTTGTTTTATTGTATTGCAGTCGTTGTATCAATTGTTACAACTACGAAGAGAAATAGCTGCAGAAGAAATGCCGTCTGAAAATAATGATCCGGCCGTGTTGGAAGGTGAAAACGACAACGAGAATTAGTATCGGCATCGAATAGAATCAGTCGATCGTTGTTTGTGTCTGTGTTATTATTGATTTATTATTATAATTGTTGATAATGCAATAATTGTTTTTATAGTTATGTGCACCATTCATATTTGTCATTATTGTGTTCGATGTTTGATTTTTATATTTGTGTTTATGATTCAATTTGTTTCATGTATAAACATAATGTTCTCGATAGACATTGTTTTGATTTGGGTTATTTGAATTGTTGTGGTCGTTCTATAGCTCATTAATGGTTTTGTTTGTTTTTGGAGTAATGAAGAAAGGAATCATTTGAATCAATGAATAAAATAATTATTCATATATCAATGGTTTTTGATTAGTCAGTTAGTGTTCATTTCAGTGCGATTTATCACTACTGATCGTTATGTTTTTTATGACTTGCTTAGATCTCTTCCGATTTGACTGAGTAACAGAGTGTACCATTCAATTTTATCGTAGCAGTATGTGATGGCACCGTTATCCCTTTTGTGTTGCAACGGTGGTCGACGTGTATTCTTTTGAATTGAGTTGTTTTTTCGTGACTCGTTAGGGAATGCAATGTTGAGTAAACAATTAGGAAGAATATGCTGATAAGGTGATAGATAAATGATATGGTGTGATCAGGCTTGGTGATAAATGAAATTTGAAGTGATCTCAGGAAGAGAACGAAACAGAGGAAAATTCTTCTGTTTGTTATTGTTTCATCGGATTTGATATTGGCAAATCACTGATTACATTTTTCCCATTGCAGATCTCTGAAAGAGTTACTCAATTCAACACTTTTGTGAAGGTTTCCATACGCATATGTTTGTCTCCTTTTCTCATCATGTGGCGATCTTCGAGACTAAACTTGAGTTTAGAGTCTCTCCTTACAATCAAATGTTTATAAATTTTGGCTCGCAACTGCTTCGTGAATTTTTTTGATATTTGGTACGTTTCATTTTTGATATTTGGTACGTTTCATTTCTGATATTTGGTACGTTTCGAAATTTGCACTCTTTGAAGTTGCGATGGTTTTTGTAGTGGTGTGTACTTTTGGATGTGTTCACTTATAAAATCTGGAAAAAGGGAACTTTGTACCAAAAAAGATGGAACTTTGCTCCAAATTCATCACTTTTTTTTTCACCATCATTTTTTAAGTGAATTATTTGAGGAAGGCAGAAATTTTGAGAAAATATTTTGGTCGGTTGAAAAGTTTTTTGCTCTCCCCAATCGCACTCTTTCATGCGCTCAACAAATATTTGTTGAATTTTGTGTGCGGTGAGGAATTGTTCTTCGATGAATTTTGTTGTTTGCAGTGGAAGAGTTTTTAGTTTGCGTGCGATTTTTGAATTACGCATCATTGGAGTTGATTTCGGAGTGCACTTTTTGTGATCATTCGCATTAATTTTTGATATTTATTTGTGAGAACAGTTGTTATGCAGCACTATTATTAGGTGATCACTATTGATGTTGCTAGTGATATCGACAGATACGTTACATATAATTTACGAGAATGTCTTATCGTTCAGAGTATGCCTTCTTCGCTTTGTTTATTCATATTTCTCCACACACACTTACAAACAGCCAACGAAACATATCTATCACCGTCAATCAACAAAGGCCGAAATGAGTGAAATATCAAACGATTGCTTTTTGTTTTTGATTCGATCGTGTTTTCGTATCGATTCGATCGAATCAGTCGGATTGTTTTCTGATAG